ATATATGTATATATATATACATACATATAAATAAAATAGATATATGGATGAATAGATATGTAGATATACAAATATGATTCCTTTTTCAAGATTTATAACTTTCCTATCTCCTTACACAAAAAATATTTCCATTGCTTCAGCGACGATAAAAAGCGCTCCCCAAATTAAAACTGTCACATCCCTTTCCTCCCTCCTAACCTAACCTATTCATATCTTTTATCAAGCAAGCACCTTCCTAGATATAAAAGGTACACTAGACCATACTTTAAAGACAAACTATTTCCTATAAGAAATAATTACCGGATTGGTCCTCCGTATACGAATATATGAGATAAAAAAGAATTGTGTGTTTTTGTAGGTGTGCGTGTGTTTGTGTGACTGTGTGTGTGTGTGTGTGTGTGTGTGTGTGTGTGTGTGTGTGTGTGTGTGTGTGTGTGTGTGTGTGTGTGTGTGTGTGTGTGTGTGTGTGTGTGTGTGTGTGTGTGTGTGTGTGTGTGTGTGTGTGTGTGTGTGTGTGTGTGTGTGTGTGTGTGTATGTATGTGTGTGTGTGTGTGTGTGCAATGTCTGATGAAAAGGGGAAGATCGAAAAGGTGGAAAATAAGACACGGAAAAAATACAAAACATCGAAAATCAATCACGAAAATGGTCTCCAACTAAAAAATAAATAAATAAATAAATAAAAAAAGACAAAAGATAAAGGACCAAATTATTTTGTTCCACCCGCATATTTATCTTCCATTCTTTTTTTGTTTGTTTGTTTTTTGTTTTTATTAGAGTCAATCAAAATTTCCTGCCAAACTAACCACGAAGATTTCAGGCGAAAAACAAAAAAAAAAAAACAAAAAAAAGAAATATATGCTATTTATAGAAGAGCGTCGCCCCTTCAATTTTTTCCCCTCGTTCTCCACGAAGATAAAGAACAAAAGGAACCGTAAAAGGGAGACATAAAGGCGAAAGTTGCCATGAATATTCATCAGTGCTGAACCCTAAGGTCATTACGCCAGCCGGGAAGATGTCAAGATGCCCCAAGATGCTAATTTGTACACACACACACACACACACACACACACACAGATACACACACACACACAAACACACATACACACACACACACACACACACACACACACACACACACACATACACACACACACACACACACACACACACAGAAACACCCACACACACACAAACACACACACACACACACACACACACACACGCACACAGAATGGCACTCGCAGCTATCTATCCATTTATCTATCTATCGATTATCATTGATATTATTATTATTATTATTATTATCATTATTATTATTATATTATTGTTATCAATCTTATCATTATTATTATTATCATTATTATCATCATTATTATCATTATCATTATCATCTTTAGTATTATTATTATGATTACTCTCATTATCATTAAATCATCTTTATTATTGTCCTTTTCTATTATTACTATGATCATCATCATTATCCTCATTATCCTTTTTATAATCACTATTATGGTCATTATCATTATCGTTTCTATCATTCTTCTTTGTCATCTTATTATTATCATTATTATCATTATTATTACTATTATCATTAATAACACCATCATCATCACTAAATAACCATTATTATTGTCATTTTCCTTGTTATCATGATTATTGTAATCATTATAATCATAATCATCTCCAACATCATCATCACCATCGTCATCATCTCCATCGTCATTATTATAATCATTAGTATCATTATCATTATTTTTATTATCATTATCGTTATTGATAATATCATTATCGTTATTGATAATATCATTATCGTTCCTGTTATAGTGATATGAAGACTATGATCAGGATATATTAAAAACAGAGAAAAAAAACACCAGGAAAGTATAGACAAGAGTGAGAGAGGAACAAGATACGCTTGTTACCTCTACCGAAAGGGTGTCAGGCATAGTAAACAATAGTCCAAATGGAATAACAACAGAGTAAACCTAATCAACGCTGAGTATGTTGTGTTACTTAGAGACTGTGTACTATTTGGTGCCTCAAGGAAATTCCATTTTTCTTGATTTGTTTTTCTACCATAACTTACGTGTGCCTTTCTTTATATTTCTAATTTGTAAAATGATCTTCTTGTTTTGCAGACAATAAAATTTCTGACAAAAAAAAAGCGAAAAGCGAAAATTTATTGAAGCAAAACGGGAAGGAGAAGAATGATAATGATGGCGATTATGGCGGCATCAAAGATAAGAGTAAAATGAAAGAAATTATACTTGCTTAGAGATATGAAATAATAGCCAAAAATACTGAAAGAAAATGGGATCCATTTAACATTTAGCAAAGACCCTCCTGGGAGGCATAAGAAAACGGGTACAGTTCATACAGATGACTATACAGCACAGGGTACAAAAGGAACGTTATAGGAACAAAGACTATAGTAAAACGAAAGAAAACATTCGTGTGTTGACTCTACTTGAACAGAGATGTGTTTTTGTACATATATTC